TAAAACATTATATATATATTTAGCTCGTATGTATTTAAAATTCTCATTTCAATAAAATAATGTTTTGCGTGAGAAAAGCAGATTAAACGGATAGCATGTTTCTGACGGCGATAAAGACGTTGCAACTTACTTTTTTCTGTACTACCTCAGGCGATATTAGCATAATTTAAGTAACTGTGTATAAATGAATAATAAAGTTTGAATAAAATTTTCTTATTGAGGTAGATCTGTGCTTTATATAAAATCCTATATTTTTTGAAATTTTAGTGCTTATGTAGTCGATATGATGATTCCAAGTGATGTTTTCATCAAGATAAACACCTAAAAATTTTGTTACGGAATCTCTTTTTATTTCAATTTGATCAACAAAAATTTTAGGTAAGTTTAATGGCAAATACCGTTTTTTGGAAAGCGAATGGAATAAGGTCCACTTTGTTTTATTAGAATTTAGAGTTAACTTATTACATTTAAACCAACTCGATATATAATAGTTCGTTACTCGAACACTTCACATTTTCCCCCTCGTTGATGGCTTTCGAAAGATCTATGCTGTTGTAAAGGCATGTTTTGGGAATGTTTTGAAACATTTTTTGATGAAAAAGTTATTTTTTTCAAGTACTTTTTTTTGCCACCAACAGGAAGTTTGACTCCAAAAGTTTTTTCATATCAAGGATTTCATCATGAGAAAAAAGATTAATTAAGAATTTATAATGAGCAAACAACTAAAGTTTTGCATCACCAATTTAAGAATAATTTACATTAGTATAAGCGTCCTATTTTACATCCGGAATATGAAACTTAACTACAAAAATGTTGTTGATATTAACAGCAAGCGTTTGTAAAACTGCCTTAAGACTTTCAAAATGCCCCCACTAAATGAAAAATCATGTGTATTTTGTTCTTGTTAGTGAATTAATGAATTAATTATTTATTTGTATTCTAGAAAGGCTGTCATTTCCTTCATTGCTGTTAATATAATAAAATTAAATGTTGAATAACTTTTTTGGATATGTTTTGATTTCATTTTTATTATGCTGATACCATAGGCTGATATCATACCCCATATCCCATTTTTATTTATGCTGATATCATACCCCATTTCCCCGGGTCAGCTTGAAGAGGTTATTTTGATTTTTAGACACGAGTGCTAAATATGATCATTTTATTTGATTAATTTAGACTTTAGAAGTAAGCATAATTAAGAAGTAATTTTAAAACTATTGTTTTGCAATCGAAGTATTTCAGCAAATTTGAAATAAAGATAATCATTTTTTTTAAGAATATTACACGAAGTGAAAACAAATATTATTTGAGGAAAAAAGTTTGTAAAACTAAAATATGCATTCTTCTTTTTATTTATTCTTAAATGGCCGAAGTTAGCGACCTAACCGAGGCGATTTTTATATGAGTATAATTTTTATTTGTTTTATTTTATTTTTGACCATTTAAATGCCAAATATTGTTTTATAATTAACAAAAAAAAAACTACAACTTTTATTAGATATATACATTGCCTTAGTATAATGTCCACCAGGATCGGAGTTACCCAGTGCGGCAACTCATAGTGGATTTGCCTCTAGGAGGGGGCCTAGAGGCAAATTTTAATGAAGTAATAGATTGAACCTGTTGAATACGATGAATTTCTTTTTTTTCTCAAAATCCCACCTCTTTTAAACACTTTTTAAACAGTTTCTCTGATGCTTAATGCCATTTCAATAATAATAAAAAAACCTTAAAGATTATATATTTCAGAATATATTTATGAACCAGTATTTGTGATGAGTAGACAAGAATTTCTTATGATTTTGAAATTTTTTTCGTCTTATTTCTTAATTCGTCTTGCCCTTTTTATGTAGAAAAAAAAAATAATAAAAAATAATAATAATTCAAAAACTCATCGTTTAACAAATTTAGAAAGGTTTTTAAGCAGTTTCATTTAGCAGTTTTCTGGTTACCATAGCAACAAGCCGTATACTTTCGTATTTTAACGTCAGTATATAATAGCAACTGCTTACGTTGAGAAAATTAATATTAACTTTCTATTAAGCCTATTATATAAAACGATTATAACAAATGTAAAGTGCTAATTTAAAAAAAAAAAGTAATAAAAATATCGATTTCATTAAAAAAATCCTAAATTCAATTTAATTTTTTTTTGAACCAGTTAATCGACTAAGAAATAATTTTGAAAATAAACTGGTTACATAGATATGCATTATCTATCTATGCATTAAAATCCAAGAATAACCAGATTATATATTAAAATAGTTTTATTATATTATAATTGCTTTATACTTATATAAATGTTTACTTAAAATTATTTTCAGAATTAAAATCCTAAAAAAGCCATTAAAAAAAGTTAGAATAACTCCCCCAGATATAAACAAAAGTGCGGCAAATATCGTTGAAATAGAGGCTAAGCAATAGTGCACTTTTACGGTTCAAAAAAAAGTTTTAAAGAAACCTTAAAAAATTCATCACTAAAATAAAATTAATTTAATATATAAAAAAAATTTTTTAAACATTGATATAAGACAAAGATAATTATATAAATTACAACAAATAAATCTTTTACAAACATTTAACTCGGCCACGCCTGAGAAAAAAAAATACAATAAAACAATGGCGAATGAACGCAAACACTATGGAAAAATGTTTATACTATAAAAACTAGCGAATTAAAACGAATTCAAAATGCTAAAGAAACTGCCCTAGAGAACGCTAACAAGCATTCAAAAACATGCAATGTGAAAATAGTAATATGGAAAATCCAGGGTTCAATATTGTGATTTGTGCAGCTGCACAAGATAAGCTTATAAACGTTTACGCCTAATCCAAAACCTTTCAACAAAATTACATTCAAGACAAAATAAATATGTTCATATAAAAAATCAGCAAGCACAGTCGCTAGAGCGAGGTTTATTGTCGGGATTTAATTTGATTTGATCTGGAAAATCATTGTATAGTTCTACGTCTGCTTCTTGGGCAAGTGCTTTTTTTGCAATTGTTTGAAAAGCGTGCTCTACGTTGATACCTTCTTTTGCACTTGTTTCAAAATATGGAATCTCATTTTTGCTATGACACCATTGTTGAGCACGTTTTGCTGAAACCTGTTAAAGAAATATATGCATATATATACATATATATATATATACATACATATATACACTGCCGCCGAGAGGAAGGGAGAAGGGGGGACGAGGGACCATGAAGGGAGGTCCTTTATATATAATATAGGAAAATTTTGATAAGAGCGCCAATAAAAGTTGCTGTCCCAGGCGGCGTGACGACTCTCGGCGGCCCTATATATATATATATATATATATATATATATATATATATATATATATATATATATATATATATATATATATATATATATATATATATATATATATTGCTTCTAAAATTTTATCTAAGAGAGAAAATTTTGCTTCTAAAAATGCTTCTAAAATTCTATCTAAGAGAAAAAATTAGTCAGGAAACAAAAGTTGAATTAAGTATAGATTCAACTTATGTTTCCTACTCTATTCCTTAACTGTTTAGCTAAATTTTTGAAAGCTTAAGCACACCATACTAAATATTAAACTGATAAGCAAACATTTACTAATGTTTTATAATTATTCTAATTTTAATAAAATAAAATAATAATTTAATGAAAATCATGTTTGTTATACAATGTTCCAAACATTTGACTGTTACTGTATATATATACAAGGTGGCCACACTTTTTTTGAGTTATAAAATTAAAAGAATTTAGGAGATTTTTTCGGTAAACTTGAAAAAACGAATAAAAAAATTCGGATTACTTAGGGAATTAAAAAACTTTTTTTTTTACAAAATGTAAATATTAAGAAATTTTAATCAAAATTTTGAAAGTTTGAAATGAATGTTTGAAAGAAAACTTAATATTCAAAAAACAAGTATAATTTAGAATATTTTAGGACGAATATTTGAAAATCAAGAAGATTTTAGGAGAATTTAGGTCTTTTTAGGAGGTTTTTTTAAATATTAGGATTTTTTAAGATTTATTCGGAGGCGTGGCCACCCTGATATATATCTAAGCATACAAATACACACATATTGTCAGCTGAGAACCAAAAGTATGTATGTCCACATTTTGTGTTTTTATTGTTTATTTTCAATAAATATTCTTCAACCAGTCCACTAAATCAGGTATCAAATAAAAAATACTTTAGAAAATATATAAATAATCAGTAGAGCTTTCTGGCACTAGGTCTTTACAATACAAAAATCGAAAACTCGATTTTTTGGGAAACACAATAAACAGACAAAAATAGACCTCCTGGTTCTCGGCTATGATATATAAACTTATTTTAAATTTATCTAAAATCTTGATTATCTTACAAAAGGATAAAAATCTGTGTGAGTTTGTGCGTATGTATGTATGTATGTATATATATATAATATATATATACAATATATATATATTATATATATATAATATATATATATTATATATAATATATATATATATATACAATATATATATATTATATATATATAATATATATATATTATATATAATATATATATATATATATATATATATATATATATATATATATATATATATATATATATATATATACTATATAATATATATATATATATTATATACAATATATATATATATATAATATATATATATATATATATATATATATATATATATATATATATATATATATTATATATTATTTATAAGATTATAAATATTTTTGAAATTTTTTTTTGAGAATATTAGGGACCCATTAAATATTCGAAGGTCTTGGGGACCCCTTGAAATATTTTTTATTCAAAAAAAATTTAAACCTAGTGTTTTTGTATTAGATAGAACACATTAGGGGGTGGGAGCAGATAATTTTCAAAAATATTGTTTTTGAGACACCATAATATATATATATATATATATATATATATATATATATATATATATATATATATATATATATATATATATAATATATATACATAATATATATATATAATATATATACATAATATATATATATAATATATATACATAATATATATATATAATATATATACATAATATATATATATAATATATATACATAATATATATATATATAATATATATACATAATATATATATAAAAATATATACATATATATACATAATATATATATAATATATATACATAATATATATATAAATATATATACATAATATATATATAAATATATATACATAATATATATATACATAATATATATATAAATATATATACATATATATACATATATATATATATATATATATATATATATATATATATATATATATATATATATATATAATATATATATATATATATATATATATATATATATATATATATATATATATATATATATATATATATATATATTATATATATATATATATATATATATATATATATATATATATATATATAAAGTATTAAATGTTATACCGCTCTATTTTCCAAGTCAACTTTATTCCCTAACACAACAAATGGAAAATTTTCAGGATCTCGAGGACTAGCCTGAATTAAAAACTCATCTCTCCAACTATCTAGAGTTTTAAATGAATTAGGAGCAGTAACATCAAAAACAAGCACACAGCAATCTGCACCACGATAGAAAGCCACCCCTAAGCTTTGAAAACGCTCTTGACCTGCAGTATCCCAAATCTATAAAAAAATTAAAAACATTAAGCAAACACGAAAAGAAATTATATTATTATGTTACAATCAGTAAACTCACACCTGCATTGTAACTAGCCTATCATCCACCATAACTTCTTTAGTTAAAAAGTCAGCACCAATAGTAGCTTTGTATTGATTACTGAACTTTTTGTTTACATACTGATTCATCAACGAAGTTTTACCGACACTAAATTTATTAAAAGAAACTTAAATATTAATATTACTTTAATAAACTTAAATATTGCATTAAGTAAGGAAATGTAATATTTTTGTAATATTAATTACATATATGTAAATGTAATTTCATATAATATATAATAAAACTAAAAGTGAAAGCATGATGTCATGTATTATTTAAAACCTTAGAACCGCTGATATTGTTTTTATATTCCTGGAATCATTTGTATGATAAATTATTATTGGTAGGATCATTTGTATAATAAATCAGTTGTCAATGAGAATTTAAATTAAGTATACTTAAAGCTAAAAACAATGAGATACAAATGACAAAAAATTTTTTAACCTTATTTAAAACTAGAGTAATTCAAGGACCCACTTATAAAAAGCTTTTACCCTTAAAAACCAGTCCAAGTTTGATTAGATCCATGTGAAAATGGAAGTCAAGTTGGGTCAAATTAACCATTATAAATTTTTTTTAACTGAAGAACTCCTATTTCAGATATCAAACTTATATCTAAAATAGAAAAAACAAACTTGAAAGCCACAAAAATTGCTTTCTTAAAATTTTTTTTATTTATTTACACAGCATACTTACTGTTTTTACTTAATGCTCAATTCATGCTATCAACATAAACTCAACAAAAACTTTTTTTTGAGTATTTACAAAAATTTGTGATCAGTTGACATTGCTTCAAAAAAATTGAATTTGGCATCTAAAATCTGTCTATAAAATATTTTACCCATCAGCTAGCAATATTGAAAGGCAAGAAGTAGATGGGCCTCACAATTTAGATATGCGCATATATATATATATATATATATATATATATATATATATATATATATATATATATATATATATATATATATATATATATATATATATATATATATATATACATATACACACACTACTAGTGCTTGATTTACAGGTACTTTTTTTTTTCTCCCCGTTAATCACAATTTTTGTTTCTCTATTTTTACTATATGTTATTTTTTTTATATTTTTATTTTATGTCAATTTTTATTTATTTTTTATAAATATTTTTATTATTTTTATTTAATTATTATCTATTATATTTTTATATATATTTACAAAAACGATTATTTACATTAATATAACTATATATATTAACCCTAACCCTAAGCCTGACCTTGCTGCCTGGCCAAACCAAACCCTCAGTCGATGTAGCAGCACTCCCTTGCAAGTCAGGCTATAAGATAGTCGATGTATGCACTTTTCCCTTTGCATAAAAACTATTTACAGGGACATTTTTTTTAAAAAAAAAAAACGCTACTTACGAGGACAAAAAATTATTGGGTACAATAAAATGTCCTTGTTAATGCTAATGTCCTCGTAAGTATCCATTTTAATGTAAAATCTGTTCTGGAATATGCTACTATATGGATATATATATATACATATATGCATATCTGAATCCTGAAGCTCATCCTGTTCTTGCCTAAGGGCTAGACCGTTTTTGACAGCGCCAACCATATTTGGGTTTTTGACATCGCCCAAATTAAAATTTGAGGACTTTTTTTTTAAAACGCTTTTTATAGCAAATATTGGTTATTTCATGAAAAAGCGCAAATTTTCTGCTAAATTTTGCTGGGACGGGGGTACCGCTACCCAAAAATTTTTCCTAGAATAGTCCCTGATATATCAGGCGCAGATTTAAGGGATGGCCATTGAGGCCATGGCCACATTGCCATCCCATAAATCTGCGCCTGATATATCAGGCGCATATTTATTTTATTACATTTTATTTTATCAATAAATGTTCTCAAATAAATCGAAAAAATTCCTTTTACATAAATTATAAAAAAAACGGTTCCTATTACACTTTACTTACATTTTATTCTATCAATAAATGTTCTCAAATAAATAATTAAATATAGATCTTTCAACCATAAAAATAAAACTTGGCCACAGTTGCTTTTAACATGTCTGATTTAGAAAAATGTTCTGCCAATTAGAAGCTAACAAATTAGGGTTTTTTATTCACAACCGTGAGATCATCATTAGTATCATTTTCCATATTTCTTATAAAACTAAGATAATTTGGTTACTTGATTTTTTAAATATAATATGAATCCATATCTAACTGAAGAATTAGTTGCTTGTACAATAAAAACAAAGAATAGGCCTAATGCATTAAATTACAAAACTAGACTCATCAAAGAGCTTTTGAAGATAAATTTAATGCTTTCAAGAATACAGGATTCTTACCAATTTATACAGATGATGGATTTTGTACCCTTAATTAAAAGGAATCTTGGTTATACAGCAATAAGGCAGTTTATGTTTGTTTTGAACTTTATGAAATTTTTTTTTCAATTAAAATAATATCATAAAACGAACCTAGATGTTAAATATATGTTAGATTTTATTGCTACTTAACTAATTATTAACACATTTGACAACAACGACTATTAAAGTGGTTTAGTTTTTTAATAAGAAATTATGGTATATACTAAAATATAATATTGGTAAAAAAAAAACTGTTATAATTATACTTTTTTTTTTTTGTTATTAATATTACATTTTAGTATATTATACTTATTATTACATTTCAATAAATTTTATTATTTTTCTTAGGTCTACTAAAGATGGAAACTGTCTTTATAGCATCTTTTATTTGCCTGATAGCATTATCTAATGTTTTAAAGCAACCTATTAAATCTATCTATTCTGAAAAAGTATCAGTTTTTTTATTACCTTTAGAAAGCCTCGTATCCAAAAATTAAATTGTCCGATAAATATTCTGTGGTGCAATTTAGATAAAACAAAACACAAGTATTTTATATTTTGGCCAAATCATTTTGTGGTACTGGTTAAAGGTCTTCCCAAAAAATGACCAGCTGTTGTTATGAGTGATACAAGTTTACTTAGTATCAAAAAAATAAAAGTTTTTAAGTC